CTAGGTAAGTTTACCGGAACAGGAAAGAAAAACTAATAGAATAAATGCAAAATCCTACTCTAACCTAATCTCGGGATGGGTTGCCTATGTTCAACCCAGGAAAACAATATCCTAATGCCTAACTGGCATCAAAATGCCACTCAATGTCAGCCCCTTTTACTCGGCACATACGCGCAAGATTCACCCACCTTTTGCCAAATTCTGATGAGATGAGCCGCCGCCTTTCCGTCCTAATCTTGACTTTAAGCTGATGCTTAAAGAACAAGATCAGTTGGGAAGAGGTGAACTTCTTGCCCTCATAGAATTCCTTCTGACGCATCGTCCAAATCATGACTCTCATAACCCCTAGCAAGCAACAGAATACATAGTGTTCAGCCTTCGTCATCTGCGGCACCACATTGCTACAAACAGAACTGGCTTCAAGGACAAAAAACTTTCCCTGCAGCATGCGAACCATGAGGCCTTCAACAAACCTGCACAACGGCACTACCGCCTTGCACTGAAAGAAGGCGTGACTCTGTTCCCTTTACTGACAACCATACTTTCTATCATTTTACAACTTATGTTTAGTCCTTTCTCCTTACTCAGTGTCGTAGCTAGTGTGTTTGCTGCCCCTCGCTAGAAGGAATATAATATTACAATGCATATTAACCCCTTAAAGTTTATATATATATATATTTGTCATATTTTCATCAGCAAATTTTCACCTTAGTGTGATTAAGAAGACATAAAATAAATATTTTATGTGGTCCAGTCATTAAAAGAATTATATATATGGAAAGAGAATAAAAGAAGCATTCTAATTATATTTTGTGCCTTCAGACATTGAATATTTTTATACTATTTTTTATGACAGCTTCTGCCGTATTTTCACACATACTATATGTGAAATAAGTCCACATTTCTGTTAACTGATAAATTATGAAATAAGAGTACAATTGTTTTTTTTTTTATAAAACTGGGGCTATGTAAAAAACGAAGACGTTACTTCTTTTTTCCTAAATTGGAAAAACTTTAAAAACTTTTTACGATATGAAAAGAAAGATAACTTGTTTTTGCTTATATACCTTCTGTTTTATTTAAAAAGAAAAACAAAAAACATGTACTTTTAATTCATAATTTATCATTTTTTTTTAATATTTCAATTCTAACAAGTGAGGAGTCATAAATGGCATATTGACAGAAACACAGTTCATTTTTCTTTTAACAATGTAAAAAAAATGAAATGCCTTTTTAAATTATTTTGTTTTATGCAGTTGAAGTTATTATTAGCAAAGTAGTAGACTAAGAATTAAAAGTCTGATAAAATAAATTTCACTTTTAAAAACTGAAATAAATGTTATAATACTTTTAATTCTTAGTCTATTTTGCTTAATAAAACTTCAACTATCTAAACAGAAAAATAAAATATTGCATTGTTTTACTACCTGTAATGACAAAAGTACATAAGAAAGATTTATTCAAGTGAGAATACAAGATTCACATATAGTGTCCTTTTATAGTCCCAGTAAATAGAAATAGCTCTCTTGAAAAGGAGAGTAACAAAACAAGTGGAGACCACTCTTAATTATTCATAACACTACCATGAAAACTTGTACATTGAAAAATTGAAAAAAAAAATGGCCATTTTGGAACTTTAAATGAAGTTTCTGCACTTAAAAAAATATATTAATTTTCAATTTTCTTTTAAATTTCTGTTTGATAATTCCAGAAAAAAACTGAAATGCATGTGATATCCTTAAAGCATTACAAGAATTGAAATAAAAAAACTGACGCCAAAATCTGGACTTCTCACATAGGCGTGAAAAAAACTGTGGACTCACTAAATTCACTTAATTCAACCCCACATAAAGCCCTTTAAAAATGTTCAAATTTTTTTCACACTTTTTGCGCACATTTTGTAAATGGGGTTTTCTGCACCAGCTGACAGTGCATTTTAGAGACAATTTTTTTTATTGCTGGCTGGCTGGCTTTGATCCAGCAATATCAAAGACAAATTGGCTTCATTTGAACCCTATCTTCTTCCTTATCTTATCGCTGCTTTTTTTTGTAAAAATTATTGAAATTATGCCTTTGTTTTTTTCTTTTCTGAAAACTCACCACGGAACAAAAGTGCCGCCCAGGGCAGACTGTGACCTCTGCGACCTATGCCACCACAGCTACACCGCTGTCCTTGCTTTCCTTTACTACCTTCTTAAGGAGTTCTTGTAGTTTCTTTCCTTTTCTGTTATCAACACTGTATCATTTTCATATGTAATGTCGTTAAGATTGTGGCTGTCAATAATGAATCCTGGTAGGACTTCTAATTCTCACAAAATTGCTTCACTGTAAAGCTTGAATAAATCTGGTGAGAAGATATCTCCTTATCTAATGCCTCTTTCTATTTTTATGTATTTATTGAATCTATTTTCTATCTGTATGCAGATAGTTTGATACCAGTATAAGTTCTGGATTATTCTAATATCCTTCCCAAATATGTCAAGCTTACTTAGCAGTTCTTGTGATCATATACTTTTGTATAATGTATAAAACATATCTAACATAATAAACCCTGCCTGTTGCAGCTATGTCCTGTCTCCCCAGTGGTTCTGGCCGAAAAAAGAATCCATCCAATCTCCCCCCGGTGAACTGAAGGAACCACCACTATTCACCACATTGTGAATTCTTGATCTGAACAGCAGTCTATCAGTCTCCCCAGAACGGTCCGGTGGGAAGGGGAGGAAATGGTTGGGTATTACGCTGAAAGGAAATCACTATTCATGCAAAAAAAAGTTTCTTGTCGTAGCTGCAAAGACATGAAAAGGAAAGAATAAGCAACTCTTTTGGTTCCTGTACAAAGAGCCCTTTTCAGGCCACTGTTTTTATGTCACTACCGAAGAATTTACACGAGTACAAAATGTCGTAACGAGGTTCACTCTTTTGGGGTTGGAAGTGACAGAGAGAGAGTAGGAAAGTTTCTGCCTAATCAATTTCAGCTGATCTAAGGGAAGTAATTCGGGGATCTTCGTCGGAGCGTGTAATTATAGCAGTTTGGTTTCTCAGCTTTGTTGGCAAAATTAACTGGTTTCATACAGGGTCTGTTTCTATTTTTGGGTTTGGATCGGACCTCTTGAGCGCATGACAACCAACCAACCAACCGGACCAGCAAATTCCAACAAGCCGTCTCTTCCCCGGTTTTGTGATCTGACTAACTCAAGCATGTGGGCAGCTTATATAGAGAGAGGCGGAGCTAAACCATCTTTAGGCACCGTCCCCAAATTTTAATATGCAAATCGCCTTTGACCACTATGCAAGCTTTTCTGGTCCCCAAAACTCAGCGGGAACCCAGTTTTCAAGAGATACTAAAATCGGATTCGGACCTCCTGCTGGGTCTTCCGCAGACAACGTCTTCTTAAGTTTTGCCAAAACCACTTATCCCATCTGGTTGAATTCCGCTATTCAGACCACCCAAAAGTCCAATTCGCCATTTATCACAAACTTTACTTTAATGAATCCGTCTCTTAATCACTCTGGAATTATTACATTTAATTAACTAATAACTCAACCCCAGAAACAATTATTAAGAGAAAAAAAACAAGAGAAAAAAATATAAACTTATTTCTGGAATTACTCCGGAATCCTTTCTACCCAAGTAATTAGCACCTTCATCCAAATTCTTTAGCACTGTTGATTACTAAATCCACCTCGGGGTGGGGGAGGGGTTCTCTCTCTCTATGTCACACATAGGTATGTTGCAAGATACTAGTATGTTTGGATAGAAATATTCACCATTATGTTGTTGGAATCAACACTTTGAATATGAGTGTGTGTACACTGTATAATAAATATTTATGAGCTCCTGAAGACATTTATCCCACAAACAATATTGATGGGCTCAATGTGAGTCCAGGTAAAAATAAACCAAAACAATCAATATAAAATAAATCACAATGTATGCTATGAATAAAAGGAATGTGTACACAATTGTACTGAAAGGAAAAAACATTAAAACTAGGTATAAGAAGAATTTGCTTTTTTGTGTGTGTGAAAAAGAATGTGTAATAGACACAAATGTGTATATGAGAGGGTTCAAAAGTCAGCAGAGGACCAAGGAAGCAAAAGCGCCACAGTGGCAGCATTCCTATCTACATGTAACTACATCTGATAGACAGAGGTGAAAAGAGGAAGAGAGAGAATATGATTGCCTATTTATAAGCTTAAAGAGCACCTCCTAACAGGGGTTTTGCCAAAGCCAAGTTGGATAACCCACAGGTATACATATTTTTATACTTGTATTGCTCATTCTGGGCATAAATATCATGTTCCTTGTTCCATTATCTTTAAAGAAACTTTACTATGAAAAAAATGATTTTGTAATCATAATAATATTAAACCTAATAATTATGTGAAGAAAAAAGACAAAGTGATAATAGAATAAAGAGAAACAAACTTAAAAGAATTTTAGAAATTATGATAATGATGATAATAATGCTGATTAATGACTGTGACATTTTTAATTATACATTTATATATATTATTTATATATTCCTTTTCTTATATACAATGAGTGCTTTATTTTAAATTCTTCAAAAAGAGATTTTTGATATATATAAATGTGTAATGAAATAAATGTTTATATATATATATATATATATATATATATATATATATAAATAAATGTAAAATAAATGTTTATATATATATATATATATATATATATAAATATTTATATATATATATATTATATATATATATATATATATATATATATATATATATATATATATATATATATATATTTTAATAAATTTTTACTTTCGAAGCCTAATTCCTTTTGCGTTCGTTTAAGGACCATGCCTTACAATGGTCGGTAATTGAACTCGTGAGCAGACTGTTTACTCGAGGCGACAAGCATTTAGGGTATTTCCTCTCTGTTTAACCACGAGGTTGTTTGATGGTGGTCATTTTTTTTATGATTTTCTGATTAGAAATAACTTTGTAAAAACCAGTGTACTGTAAAGATGCGAACACACAAAAAGAAAAGAACCCATAATAACCGAAATAAGGCAAACAAAAATGTATCAAAACGATGGAAGAAAGGACACAGTTGCAGTAGTAACCCGCAATATAATGAACACAGACAAAAGGCTGGCATGGGTTATACCACTTCAGGTAAATTAATACGTTATATAATGTTTATTTATTATGATTATTTCATTTGATTATGTCATAAAATAATCAGATTTTGATGTTGTTGTGTTGTTATTCGTTAAAGCTATATATTGCTTTGTTGTATTTAGAAATAAAAAATAATCCCGATTATATGGAATCTGCCTTTAAAAACTTACGTAGTTAGTCAAAAATCTTGGTCGATCCTTCCTTTACTTTTTGTTTTAATGCGACAACAAATGGATCAGTATTGGTTAATTTAGGTTGTAGATAAATTTAAATGAAACAAGAGGATTTTGTTGAACCTGTTCATATGTAAAAAAAAAAAGAATTTGATGAGTTATATTGTTATGATCGTATACTGATTATTTCGCATTTCTAAACTTGCGTAAAATTAAAAACATCCACCTTTTTGTGCGGCTCGATATGTTTTTTGCTATTTTTTTTTCCTTTATTAGTAGTATTTTTAATTTTTTTTTTTTTTGCGATATTTCCTATTTTGATGCTTCTAAAAATCGTGACATTTTTATTGTTTGTTACAGTTTAGGTAAATATTTGAAGTAAAACATTCACTGATCTCGTCCATTGAGTTTGAACTTTTAAAAACTAACCACGTGTCTTTTTCAGATGTGGATTCTCATGTGAAATAAACATTGTTTAAGAAGGAGATCATTTACAATGCATTAAAAAAAACGAAAAATACGTAGTTTGAACTTTGTATATAAACAAAAAAAAACTTAAAATATTTTTAGATAAATCATGATGACCAAATAATAAATTATTTTACTTATTTACTTTTTAAACAAACATGTACGTGGATAAAAATTTGTGATTATTCATGATTTTTTTATTAAATTTTAAATATACCCTCATTAATTCCAAAAATTATCAAAGTTTCTGATAATTTGTTTTTTTTAATGCCATTTTTAAAATATTTTTAATGATAGGACGAGCGTAAAGAAAAACTTTAGCATCGAATAAAAAAAATACAAATTAATACAACAGTCACTTTTTTTTTAAGTTTTTAGATTTTTTTGGTATATTTACGAAGCAAAAAAGAATAACACATATAGTTTGTTTAGAGGTGACAAATTTTGCTTAGAGAAAATTGTACTTAGTCGGGTTTTTTATCAATAGTTTTTTGTTTTTTTTTATACGTGTCCATTTATTTTGGTTGCGTTTTTAAACACGCAAAAAATAAATGTCTACTACAGATGCAATCAATTCAATACCTTCGCTACATAAGACTTGAGATGCATCTTCTATCGAAAACATTTAAATGCCTGTCCCTTTTTAGCGCATAAACGATTACAGCTCTCCACAGCTTCCTTTCCTTAAATTGTTATGATTATTGGGAAATAATAGAATGCTTTCCTATTGAATTTTCTTAATTCAAGAGACAACAGTAACACTTATTAGTATTTCTTTACCTAGACTGGCTGCCAACCTAGGCTTACCTTGATATTTCGATACCTAAAAGAAAGAAAAAACGCGATACCGAGGTTTAAAATGCATTTTAAATATTTTTTCTTGAAGCTTTTACTTTAGTTTTTTTTTTAATTCCAATCTAAGAAATTAAATTCAATTATTTCCAATAAGCGAAATACTTTGCTGTATTTCAAACCGAATTTAAATTGATTGGAATTATTTTTTTAAAATCGCTAAAATCGGCCATATTGACAAAACGGAACCTAACATAATTCTTTATTCAAAAATAAGATATATTTTTCTGAAACTATTTGATGAAGAGTTGAAGATTAATTTAAAGTTTAATTAATCTGAATTAGAATATTGCAGAAAAGCATTTTTTACACAAAGATGTGCATTTGTATGAGGTTTTTTTGATAGATTTATCAATAGCTTAATGTTTGGCATTTTTACATAAAGGCACATAACTATGAAAATTACTTGACAAATATAACATGAATGCTTTTATACAATTTTTTAACTATCTAGTAATCTTAAAAATTTCAGTAAATATTCTAAGTAATCTAATATTTTATTGAATTTTAAGAAACACTTGTGGGGGAATGATAAACAATAAACTTTAAATTTACCATAGTTACCACTTTTATTTTCTGATAATGCTGTATATGTATGTCCAGCAAGTTTATACATGCACAAAAAAAAAATTAAAAGTTCTTTTTAAAATACTGGGGATTGCTGAATTGTAGTAAACTTTTCCATTTATGATTAGTAAATATAGTTTTTACATAATAAAAAGAATTTTGAAGTAAAATTTTTTGAATTAATCTAAAATTTTTAAAAAATGAAAACAATTCTTTTTGAAATTCATTATTTTTTCTTTTATGATTAAGAGAAGATTTTCTGTAACTAAGGGTCCTATTTGATCAAAAACTTTTTGTAATTTAAATTCTCTTAGAACTTTATAACTAATATAAGCATGAAGTACTGTGATTTAGAGGACCAGAAATAAGGAATTCATATCATTTTCTTTTATAGTGTTTATTACCAAACCATTTTGCATGCATGAACCAGACAAGGTGGAGTAATCCTACACCTACTATAAGATATTTTTTAGTATTAATTCAGTGGTTTTATTAAAACTAATAAAAACAAGCCTATATTACTGATGCCTTGGATAAAATTAGGCTATAAAATATGTCTTGTAGATATTTTGATGGTATTTGAAATTACCACTTGGAGAGAAAACTATTTATCTTAAATCTATTAGTAAGTAAATGTCATTTTCTTTAACAGGTAAAAGCACTTTGACAGCAGCTGCACTTGCAAAACTTAATGCTAACAATGAGCAGATGTCTGTGGAGGGGTCAGAATTTGATGCAACCAGCATTGGGGGTAACACATTCAAAACATTTGCTACAAATTTCACAGAATGTACAAATGTTACATTCAACCAGATTCATCGTCTTTGGACATCGAATTCAGCCCTACACAAAGAGGTAAGAAGCAGCGTCTTTTCTTCTATGTATGTCAACATCCAGGGTGATAACAGGGGTGGCGGTGGTACCGCTGGCAACAACAATGGCGGTGGAGGGGGAGGAATGGGCTGGCCAGTGCAGCAGGGTAATGCAGATGAAATGTCTGACAGCGATGAGAGCACATGGTATGGTGATGGAGGTGATGATGACGATGATGATGATGATGACTATGAAGAGGAAGATGAGACAGATGATGAGGATGAAGACGACGACGATGATGAGGATGATGATGATGAAGATGATGAAAATAATAACAGCAGTGCTGAGGACAGTGATAATTTTCTGGGTAGCAGCACCGAGAGCTATTCTGATGATGTCATTAGTGATGACAGTTTGTCTGATGATTTCTTTTTCAATAGTTATATGGTAAATGATGCTTTTGAACAGATGCCACCTCAAAACACCAATAGCCAAACTCTTAATCGAAACCCAAACAGCAGCATTCATAGCCATCATGAAAATTTCATGCCTGGCTTTAATCTTCCACAGTCGCTCTTTTGCCACAGCCTCAAAAAACAGAACATGAAGTCTGCTCTTTCAGTTAAACAGTCTCAATTTATAACTCCAGGGTTTTCTTCTGGGAACTATTATCAAATTCCTGGATATTTCCACATACCCACTGCCAATTTCAAACACAGAAGCTCCATCAATGGTTGGAAATGTAGAACCCGCCTGAAGGCCAGACCCATGAAGTTCAGTCAAAATATCAACCATCCAAGTGATTTTCATGTAAGCACACATACATGCAGAGCCTTATATGTGTTTGGAAAGAGGAATTATGTTCTTCCTGTCTTTGAGTCTGCTCTTGGAACTTCAATCTTGTTTTTGTTACCAAATTCCTATTCTGATTTCTACCACCCCTGACCTCTTCCTTTACTCCTCTTTGACATTTTTTTCCGATGCTTTCAATCCCAACAGAATATATATGTCCTAAGAAAGTATCTACCAGTTATTAATTTTGGTTAATAATCCTACTTGTTTGTTACCTAATAACCTTACTTGGTGTTTAAAAACACATTGGAACTAAAGAATAGTTTGTTTTTTAAGATCTCACAAAGTCATTAATATAAATTTAAAAAAAAAGGTTTTGTTATAAAGCTAGACTGAAAGCATTAAATATTAACAATATTTTATTTCAGTAAGGTGGCAAAAAATCTCTAAGCCAGCTTTGGTAAGCTTGGCATGAAGAACAACTAGTTGGTATGGAAGTTTATTAAAGTCAACTTATTACCAGACTGAGATAAAAAAAAAAAAAAGGGTGATTGAAAGGAGACAGTGGTTGGTGTTAGAATTTCAGAAATAGGAATTGGTAAGCTTTGGATAAAAAATTGTCTGCTAAAAGTTTTCCAAAAGCAAACCATAAAAAAATCTGATTTGGGAGAACTTCTTTCTGTAGTCATGTGGTTTTCTAAGAATATTGTCAAGTGGGGTTGAATATTGTCAACTGCATTAAAAGCTCATGTATATTAATTATTAACCTGCTATTATATAAACTAGCTGAAGTACCCAGTGTAAGAAGGGTAAGAGTTCAAAACTGGTTATCATGACTCAATACTACTACATTGATGAGATAGTAAACAATATGATGAAGAATTCAGATAACATGGGCCATAACTATATGATGAGATTTAACTTAGCTGATTAGGTTCCATGATCAAATCAATAAAAGCATTGTCCATGCTAGGATAGAGGATTAGTTCAAAATTTGTTGAAAGTCAAAGCTTTATTTTTCATCCTTGAGGTTTATTGAACAGTCACAATAAAAGTAACAATAAGATAAACTAACCAAGGATTAATAATATAAATTCCCCCTCAATGAAATTGACAAATTTAAACCACTTCCAGTTTCACCTTATTTTCAATTATTTAAAATCAAAAGTATATCACAAAAACTTGGCCGGCATTGAATCTAAATCTGAAATTTAAGACAACCTGCAGAATATAGATTTTGAAATTTTATTGTTATTAGAAGTGAGTAATATCTATTTTGTTAGAGAATATGTAAAAATATTCTGATCATATTTGTTCTGTTTACTGGCAAGTTTGAAAAATAAATGAAAGAGTAAAAAAACAGTTATATGTTGATTTGCATTCAAGTGAAAATGCAAATGATCATGGCTCTCCACATATTTGGTTATCTGAATTTTCATGGTTTCCTGTTACCTTGTGTATGGCTTGAATTCTGAGTCATCCTTCTCTTAAAATGACTACCATCTAAAGTTAGAAAACCCAGTCTACCCTGATATTTAACTGATGACTAGGGGAAGAAGATTAATGCCTTTCTCAAGAGTACTTGTGCAAAAGTGCATGCAACTTACTAGGCTGGAATTTGAACTCGACTTGCCAGTTTCATTTTCTGCACTGATAGCCATTATGCTACCTGCAAATCCCTTTACAGTACAAACTTTAAAAGTTTAATTTTCTTTTTTGTTAAGTCTCTTAACATTTCACCTAATGAATGTTTTTCAGGTTGAGTCTAAAACCCTAGAAAGCTGAGTTTTTTCTCTTTTCTTGATATGTGACCAGTCAAGTGCAGTAACTCTTTATCTAATGAAAAGAGCTCAGTTTAGCTGTTCTTAGTGTAAGAAAAAATACATTTATGTGTGGGCAATTGGATATTGACCAATACACAAGAAATAGGAATTCAAAATAATCTGGACACTGGCAGATCAAAGCCAAGTTACCCCACTTGGCAATAGAGATTTGTTTTTTTGTTATTTTTTGTTTTGTTAAGCTATGTATCTATGTATGCATGCTTCTCTATGAATATATATATATATATATATATATATATATATGTGTGTGTATATCTGTATACACACAAAATCATTATCCTATGATTATGCTTTAGTTTACTTTTGTTGCTTTTAGTAAAATTCTTTATCTCATTGCATTATGTGAAACATGTATACATATTTGTGTGTGTGTATATATATATAGGTATGTGTATGATAAAAAGCATACATACACATACACACGAAAAAATTTTACGTATGTATAAATATATTTCTTCTATGGGTGTTATAAATACAGTGCTGGATGTTATGAAACAGAGCTATAAGCATATATTAGTGAATATATATAATATCCAACATCGATAGCACAACTATTCATGCACTATTCTGAGTTTCATGTAGTTGCTGCAATCTTCATTTAACTATTTAAAAACAAAAAACAACCATCAGAACCCAATCATTAGATAGAAAATAATCACAAAAGCTAAGCCATACAATGGAATGGGAGACAGATGTAACTTGTGTTTGTTGGAGAAGCTTATTAAAACATTTAAATAACCCTAACCTGCTGAACACAAGGTCCAAATTAATGTCTACATGTATACATAAATCCAAGCACCTGATAAAACACATTGATCCTGATTAATAGAGATTACAATACATGAATATTATAATATGCAACAACTTTTAATATTCTTAGTACCCATCATTAATAACATTTCATGTATATTTATACACACATATAGTCTAATATTACTGTGCTCAATTTATTTATAACCTGTGTTTATATAATTTCACTTTACAAATACAAGTCTTGGTTTCAAATGCATTAGTAAGATAACATCAATCCATTCATTTTTTTTTTGTACCTTTATATTATATTTCCATCCTGAGTAATAATTTTGTCAAAAAATTGTTCCCTTGATACTTTTACTTGTGAATCAAAATTTAAATTCAAATAATTAAGAAATATTTTTTCTTTAATTTTTTTGTTCTTCATCTTTCCAATTTATGAATTTAAATGACATAAATTATTATTAGTTAATTATAATATTTTAGGCAGTAATAATTAAATAAACAAGTTTTAACACAAAATTTTGAATCATCACCATGAGAATGCAAATTAACAGTCAGATTGTATTTACAACCTAAAGATTGCAACAACTGTATGAAATTCTGAGTCGTGCTATTGACGTTGAATATTATGTATCTTCACTAATATATATATTTCTTTTTTGTTCCTTCTTTATGCTATATTTGTTTGTTTGTTACAGTTTGACTATTAAATATTGTTATATGCATGATTCTATGTACCTTATGAAATGTTGATTTTGTGCTGGCTTTTCTGGGAATGCCAGTGATTTATTAGAAATGTTTAAGGCAAAAAAAAAATGGAGAAATTTTTTTCTTGAACCATTTCCAGTTATTGCAAATAATGTTCATCAAAAAGCAAGCTTGAAATCTCTTCTGGAATCAGTTGGCCTTTACAGGTGTACAAAGATTGGTAAATCCTAACAATTGTGTTAGCATTTTGACATCTATGAATGTTATCCTTTTTAAAACATTGTGAAATCAATTGATACAAAACACTTGACGATACCAAAAGGTTGAAATCAAGGTAGCAGAATCAATTTTTTCTCCTAATTTTATATATATATATATATATATATATATATATATATATATACACACATATAATAACTAAAAAATGCAAATTTTAAATATACTATAGTAGTTATTTTAGCAACTTGTGCTAAAGAGCACTTAGCAGGTCTGTCATCTTTTTTTTTTTTTTTTAACAAAAGCAGTTGACCATTTTTTGCAGAAGACAATATTTTTTCTTGCTTTTCTAAACTAAAAATCATTTGTAGTACATTTACATTGTATCTATAGAAGTCATATTCTGTCAAGATTGTGTGCATGAATTCATAACCTGATAAACATAATCTTTCTACTCTTGCAGCAATTAAGTATATAATTTTTTATTTTTTAAAAATCATCTAATATTGGATACATAAATAGTGGCCAACTGTATATATATCTGACGAGATGATTAACCTGAAGATTGTTTCAGATAATGGGAATATATATATATATATATATATATATACACACATTTGCATTAGATAGAATCTGTGTGGCTTATTTCTCTATTTAAATACTTTTGTTAAAGGCTGCAATGCATTCTCCCAATTAACTTTAGCCTCAGAAAAATCAACAAATACTGGCTCTCCTAAACTCATAAAGGGAGACAATTTATTGTACATTGTTGTTGTTAGAGCAAGGGATAAGTAGAGCAAACTGGGTTAGAATTGCTTTCCTTGCACCTTGTTCCCATATGTCTGAGTTTAATCCATTGTTCCTGGAAAGTTTTTAAAAAAAATTTCATTTTAAATATTCAGGTGAAGAAGTTTTCTAAAATTTTGAAGATTTCTCTCTCAATTTGGGAAATGTTATTTTTGGATATGATGACAGCTTAAATGTAATTAGTTGGTACATGTCTGTGAACGATTAGGCACTTCTGGATACAATGGCTTGAATTATTGATTTGACTTGTCTTTTTGCACTGCTTATTTATTGATGTTTGTTAATTTTTCTCATTCTATGTTGTGAGTCAGCATTTTGATTTTATGGTTACATTGCTTGACATTGCTAATTCTAAATAAAGATTTCTACAACTTCAGTTGTTTGAAATTTATATAAGGCTACACTTTTTTTTTCTCTGAAAACTTTTTTTTTTTTTTCAACTCAGACATTGAAGTGTGTAGGTTCTAACAAATTCTTTGAAACTTTAGCATGGCAGACAAGTCACTTTTGAATGCAGACTATCAAGGCAAAAACGTTTTCACTCAACAGATTAGTGCAATAATTTCTGTCTACTTCCTGTTCGGTCCTCACTGGACTAATCATTGATCCTTGGCCCAAAAAAAAAAAGTACAACAGCAATTGGAATCATAGTTATCATAAGTTCTACAAGCCCTTCATTAATTGCATAGTTTGTGGTTCACCAGGCCAATACACATATTATTGAATTTAGAATTGTCATTCTCTTAGACTAGTTGTCAACCAAAGCTGAAATACCCAGTTTGCCCTCCTATTTAACTCATAGCTAGACGAAGTAGAAGAAATGTTATTTGCACAAAAGGGAATGTAATGAAACTTGACTGAAATTCAAACTCAACTCTGAATTCTTGCTGCTAGTCATTACATCACTTGCAAAAAAAAAAATTAGTATGGTGTTTATGTATCATCTTGCTAGAAAAGGTTTAATATGCCTGGTTAGTTTTTATCTTTCTCTCGAAAACATTGGTAATGATTTCTTTACCATTAGCATAAATTTACTAATCTCTTAAGTTTTCAGAATCCTGTCAAAAATTTGACTTTCAAATTATGTCTCTGCTTAAGATGTGACTTCCACTTAAGTGTTCCTTGGGCACCTCTGTATTGATATCTGCAATTGTTTACATCTAGATTGGCTCTTCTACCTAGGACCACAGTATCTGAATACTGTAACCAAGTTAGTATTTGCAAGTTAATTTTACTATGCTGCTTATGGATGTTTGGATAGGGGCTTGAAATAAGAAATCAAGAAGCCTGGTTCAATTTCCAATTGGATTTGTTATATTCACTTATGTGCAAATACCCACAGAAAAAAGTATGAATCCATCTCTCCCAACTAAAGATTAAATAGTAAAACTTATATCTGGAAAGAAAATCGTTATTCTGAAGAAATTGTTAATGCAATATTCACTTGCAAAAATAAAAAAAATTACTATCCAAAATATGTTTTGACTTTAAATAATCCACAAAAAACAAATCGGTCACATTGTCTGTGTACTCTACCTAAGTTTTTAAGTTAATTTTACTATGTTGTTCAAGCAAAATAATGTTGACATAATGGATATGTCACTTACTTGCTTACCTGAAGATTGCACATTCAGTTCTGGATAAGATTCACATGTTAATTTTCTATATGTTTGCTTTAACATAACAAGTTATGGACAGAGAAAAAAAGATATATCCAGACAGTCCCAGGTTCTTACTTGTCATTGTGAATAAATTTGTGTTTGTAAAAAAAAAAAAAAAAAAAAAAAATATATACCTTCAGCCAAATTTGACAGTGGTTGTAACATTTTTACAATTAACACTGTTTTGCCCAAATTCTTATTAATACATTCTCATCTCAGACAAAGCATTTTTATAGCCCAGATATCTGTAAATGGAACAGAGGACAGGAAATGGGTTCCAAGCTTTCTCAATTGCATTAAAAACAACTGAAATTGCAATTGTAGTTTCTTTGCCAATAGTCATCATGCAACCTTGAACATTCACATATAAGATAATCAATGGCTAAAAAAACTGGTTCAAAATATTCAGAGAAGAGCAGCTGCATTACTTACATGTAGTTAATATAGAATCTTTAGAGAAAAATGTTTTCGTTTAAAGTAATTTACAAAGCCAAAATATAGTAAATATCTCTCATAAACATTATTTAAAAAAAAAAAAATGCAATGTATCATTTATATGAAAAGAACAAAGTCTTTAAACTTGTATGTTGTTTTTGTTGTTTTGGTGACATTCATTTCTAACTTTTTGTCCAAGCAGATGTTGGCGGTCCTTGCAGCCGTCACTGAAGTGATTAAAGAGAATGGAGGAAAGGAATCCGAAACGGAATATTTTGCAGCATTGGTGAGATGATTCTGTTTGTGTACACCTGCGTGCATGGGCAGTAGAAATTCCTGTTTTATGCATTTTAAGATAAAGTAACATGGCTAAAACTATTTCCTTATGAATACCTATGTGTATTTAGGACTGTTGGTAATTTTCACAAATGTGATGTAGGCGGTGTGTCTTCCTACAGTATTTTGTAGAATTGGCAAGATGATAAACTTAAATATGTTCTAAGTTTAAACCTTTTATTTATTCTCCTGCTTTTCAGATGTTGGTAAAGTATCATTTATACACTTCAAATTTATTCTAAGTTAGTGTATTAATTTCATCTTAGGTGTAAAAATGTGCAAATACACTTTGATTCTCCTCATACTTGCATAGTGTCATTAAATGGTGGAGTTGAACAATGGGCAGAAATAATCTATTTTTTTTTATTTTTCTTTCATATTACTATAGATTAAGCATTCCAGATCACAGATTTTTTTTTCTTTAAAATTTTATGAAAGTTAATAGGGAGGTGCAGTTTGCTATGTAAAAAAGGAGTCAGCCATAGTCAGCATCATCAAGTCAATACAAATGATCTTTTCCTTAGCTACATAGTATGTGCTTCATTAGGGCTACATACAGTTTTGAATTCAGAGTTTTCCTTCTTCTACACCAGTTTTCACCCAAGGTTAGAGAACACAGTCTTTCCTATTATTTACTCCTGGCAGTGGGGCAGGGGGAGTGTAGAGTTGGATTCATACCTTTCTCAGTAAATAAGTAAGTAAATGGAATGAATTCAACTGAAATTTGAACTCGGCTCTCCAATTCCATAATCCAAGCCGCAATATATTACTCTACCGTGCATCAAATGCTATGTAATTTCATTGTAAATTGAAACCCCTATGGAAGCCAAAACAAAATATGCTCAGATAAGATTTCTTAATATATATATATATATATATATATATATATATATATATTTTATAAATTCAATTTTGAATCTATAATATAATACATTTTTCATATATTACTGAAATTAAACACTCTAGATTACAAATTTAAAAAAAAAATATTTTATTTTCTAAATTTCATATCTCATCATATGAGCATATTTGTTTTTGATTCTGTAGGTGGAGTGGGGTCAGTTTATATTCAATTTACATAACAAAGTGAACTCCACTATTAACCTTTTTATAATTTTTTTTTCTATCCTCCTGATCTGGAGTGATTAATCTATAGTAATATAAAAAAAATTATTTCTGATCACAGGGCATATTGTACAACTCCACCCACTAACTTGGTCATTTACTATCAATTGCAAAATTAATATCAAACAATAAATGTTGATATATCCAGCATTTAGTTTTCTTATTCAGTAGATAAAACAGTTATTGATAAAGAAAACTTAACCAACAGATCAGTTCTGGATGTCAGTCAGTGAGAAGAATATATCTTCTCTGTTTGGTGTATAAAGCAAAAAGATCTTAGCAATGGTCAATATAGGACCAGGCAAAAACAATCTTTAAAAAGGATGTTTTTCTCCTGATGTTGCTATTACTGTAAACTGCCTTGGTAATTTTTATTGTTTTAAATATAATCTTGTAAATAAATAAATAAATTATTGTTATAGTTCATAAATTGAATCCTATACAAAATAGTTTTATATCTTTCCTCTATAATCTTCTAAATAAATAAATAGTGTTTAGCATTTTTGTTGCCAATTCTTGAGAAATGTATAAATTCAGTTTCATATATTACAGTTTTATTAAAATTCTAAAAAAAATTTTTTAACAATAAAACCTACCATTTGGTGGTGTCAAGAGACAAAAGTTCTTACATTCTGTATTGTTGCCTTGTCCTAAGTTAAACTTTGCTAAAGTCTTTTCAGTTAGATCTTGAATTTTAATTATGACACTTTGTCATCTAGTATCAGATATCTTGATTTCTATTATAAAATTGGCATATCAAAGTTGGTTTAGTCAAGTGGTTATGTCTGAGCATTGTTTGCTGTTATAATCATTTAAGGACTATGTACCACAGCAAGGAGATAACACTAGACATTTATAAATACTGGTTGGCTGTGTACTATATTTATTTTTATTTATTTTATATATAGATTTTTATATGCTGTAGAGTAGGAATTGTCATTAATGGGGGAACACTGAGGTTAATGACATTTAGTTAAAAAAGAGATGTAAAATGTAGTGGGTGAAAAAAAGATGAAAACCAAGTTAAAAATAATGAATAGATTTATTACCCTTTTAAATCGTCAAATTTGTGTTAGAAGTTCTAACTGTTCACAGTTTTGTAGTTATTCAGACTGAATCTAATATATTTGTTGAGATAATGCCATTGTTCAGAAAAATGTCCATTCTGGTAGATGGACTAATTGATATTTTTGTAAAGCCACTTGTAATCTGACAGAAGTGGTGATTATTTTTTTATGTTGGAAATGCAAGAAGGATTGATTAAAAAAATAGCTAAATTCTTAGATCAATAAAACAAAATTAACACTTAAAATGAAGTAGGTTTTAACAACCCTAAAAGCATATGAACTACATTATAACCAATTTTCAGTGTTTTCTACTATTAACAAAGTTCATCTGGAAAATAAAAATATAAAACATGATCCTTCTTGAATTTTCACACTTGACATTTTTTTTTTATAAAGTTTTACAACAGGTATCAATAATTGTTTGTTTGCAGATATTTAAATAAGTTAATATTGTCATCTTAATTACCAGATAACTGCATTGGATACAATGAATACAGAAGATAGTTTGACTGCTGCTACCTATCTGCTAAGTCTTGTTATCAGCAAGTAAGTATAACTTTAGATTTATGAAAATTGTATGTGTGTATGAATATGTGTCTGCATATATGTTTGAATATAGAAACAAGTATGTATATTACATGTGAGCAATTGTTTTCAGTGCTCTCTCTAAAAGTAGACTGAAAAACCCTTTTTTGCTGGAAACTTTTGCAAAGATTTAATAAAGGTGTATTGTATATAAAGATGCAAGATCATGTGAAGGTTATTAGCTTGGGAAACTAATTTTCAAATTGTTTGATTTCTGGCTGGAGCTGTTTTTATTTACATTATACTCATAGCTCTTGAGAAAAGCATGAACCCATTTGAACCCTTGTACTTTGTCTCATCAGATATTTTGATAATATGTCTAATTATTGGAGATAATGGTTAGAAAAATGTATGTATGTATGGATGAATGAATACATGGACAAACAACACTCAGAATTCTCATAGCCAAGAGTAACATTTTTTTAATTGTTATTTCCATAGTTAGCAATTCTGTTCAACTTTTTTACAGTTTCCAACATTGTGGTCATAAATTTACAATGTCTTATTTTCTTTTGAAGTTTTGTCTTTTTGGCAACCATAGCAAATGATATATTTGAAATTAAAAAGATAAGTATATATTCTTTTAGAATATGATGAACAATATTCCAGTTTCATAATAAAATCTTACACCACTAAGTTATTATAACTATTTCTGATATAAACTGAAAATGAAATTCATCTCTATAATAAATGTGAATGTCAGTGTGTCACTGTCACACTTTTTTCAACTTTACTCCTAGAGATCGTAAGCCAACATATCATACAATTTTGGAATCAGGCCGACTCCATGAGCAAATTAAAAACACACTGAGCCAAATCCGAACCTGCAATCCTGAAATTTTTCTTTTTTTTTTAACGTGATTTTTTTGTGACAAATTATGGAATAAAAATAACTGTTGATATGGAAAGTAAGGCCCTACATACATCAAATTGTCTTTAAATTAAGTGGCATCAGAAGAATTATCATTGAGCTTTTAAAAAGTAAGCTTAAATATTAATGCAATACTGAAATACAACAATCAATTTTGAGTTCTTCTGTAGTTTATTGTTGCCTATCACATCTACTCCTCCCTAACTATTGTGATGACGGCCCAAATCAAGACCTCTCCGCAGGAGCTATGTTAAATGCTGCCCAATAGAGTGGCTTTTAAGCTAGTATGGTATATTTATCATCTAAATATGTCCTAAAAATTTAACCATCAACTAGTTAATGGGATTTATTCTTACACCCATGTTGTACAAATTTGGCACATGGTTGAGTTTTATGTGTGTTTTCAAAAAAATTGCACAAGCTCATTTGACACTTCCTCTTTTGGGATACCTCAGCTACCTGATAATGATCCCCAGCCTCTTGAAGGAGAGGTACTACCTGATAGTATAGCCTCCTGTAGCTCAGGCTAATATTAATTAGAAAATGTTCCAGCCCAATTGGGCCAGGTAAGTATCATCAGCTGGTTAATGCCAGATCTATTGTGAAAATATTGACTCTCACATTAAGATCTGTCTTTTTGTGTGCATGCAGAGAACACAGTCATAGTTTTAATAGAAATTAAGCATTTTTATTTTTTTAATACCTTGTCCCTTCAAGCTGTAGATAATCATGAGTCTCCACATATCCTTTTCCTTTATTATTGTTGGAGTGCGATGCTTTCTTAGGAGAATAGTATAGTGGTTTCCTGTTGCCTTCTCCATGGTTTTGAATTCCATGTATACTTTCTTTTATGCTGGTTGCCACCCAATGCTAGAGAGTTAAGTCTACCATGCTATTTAACCCATAACTGGTGGGAAAGAGACAGATTCATGGTTTTCCTCAAGTGCATGGGTGCAAATGTAAACACAACACAGTAGCTTGGAATTTGAACTCTGCTCTCCAATTACATTTTCCATGTCAACATCCACCTGCACATCCTTTTCTTATTTAGTTAGGTGAAAAATGAAACTTTAACTGTCAAAAGAAAAAAAAATAAATTAAAGTTCAGTAATTTTATGCACACAAAAAGCTTAAAAACATTTATTTTCAAAAAATAGAGTTACTCTAATTCTTTCTGCTCTGTAACATTTTAAAGATTTATTGCATCCACTCCTGGGACAGAAAAAGTAGGCTAAACCTAACATGTGAAAGATTAATTCATTGGAATATAGGATAATATTATAGAAAGGCTAACTTCCCACACCTGGAAATTTGTTTTCTAATGATGAATAATATTATTTTTCAACAAGATATTGCTCCTGTCCACACTGCAAAAACCATCATGTCAGATGTCAGATTTCAGATTTGAACATTTTAGAGAAAACTTTTAACCAGGAAACATTTTTCCAACTACTCATGAACTGTTTGCCATTGTTATTGAATGGAACAACATTAATTCACCTTTCAGTAAAAAGCTGCCTGCAAGTTTACCTGCAAGGATTAAAACAAATGCTATCCCATACTAAGTTAACTTTATTTGTTTAATTCTTGCTTATTTTCTGACAAATTGTTTAAAACCATCAAAAACATAACACTGTCATTTGGGGAATTGACTAAACCCCCGTATGTCTTTTAAGAAACTGAAAAGCAGTATCTAGTGAAGATAATGGACTGCCTTCATTGCTTCCTGGTTAATCATATTTTATTTTTATGGATATGGAATTTTGCATACACTAAATGATATGTGTAATGAAAACAGGACAAGAGATTCTGTCTAGTAATCGTTTATTCAATTAAGAATACTACTACTCATCTGACTTGACAGCGGAAGTATACAGCTTTTATAACTTGGATTATCTAAGAGGAGATAATCCATATTCACAACAATATGATTCTCCCAATCCTCTGTAGGGCTGACAAAAAGCTTACAAAACAAATAGTTCCTGTCTGAGACTAAATAGTTTGTGAATAGGTCAGCAATGACAAATCTATAAAGTCACTTTTATTTTCTATATGCTAGACCAGTTAAATATCTTTGTAGTTCTAAGCAAAGGAAATTATAAATACATAACTGGTAGTAATTCTTAATGTCACAGTTAGGATTTCTGGTGGAATTTTACAATGGGCACTGCAATAAAAATTTTCCAAATATTTTTTTCATATTCTTTTTTTCTTATATTGCTATCAATTACACATTCCAGGTTATGAATTTAAATGATTTTTTTTTTAATTTTAAGAAATTACAATGTTTGAATATTTGTTTTGGCTCTATAAAGCTATGAGTTTACATAGCAAATTTGTTCCCTTATTAAATTGATATAGCTAGTAACACTAAAAGCATATAGAGAAAGTAAGCAGCTGTCAAATTTTCCTTCATACATTTAATGTATTATCTGAAACAATTTAATCTCTAAAATGCTCTTTATAGATAGATAGAAATAATATAAACACCAATGTAAACAACTCTTAGATTCTATTTAACTGTTTATCATGTCAAAAGTGATGTCTAAGAATTATTTTCTTCCACTTTGCAGAGTCCCAGATGCTGTTCTTCAGAAAAGATTTTCTGATGTGTCTAAGAAATTGCTGGATTTATTGGTAAAAAACGCAAATAGTGAGTCAACCTCATTAATAAAATCTGTAAGTAGCATTAATTTTTATTTAATTTAAGGTATTGATCTCTGTTATTTGCATTTCTGGCGTGTCTAATCAGATCTCTTGGCTTTCATCTGTTTATAAACACAAATATTTTAGATTTATGTATTTCAGAAATACATTAATATCTGAATTATTGTTTTTCAGTATATGAACTAAATTATCTCCCTTTGAAATTATTTGAACATTATTAATTTCTACCACAAGCTATTAGATTGTGATATGGTAAAATAAAACACCATATTCTTCATAAAAAGAATATTCTAATTGTAATAAGAACATGCATTTACAATGACTGTAAAATTTCATTATCCATTTTTCATGGCAAGGTCATTTCAAAAACAGGTTATTGCAACAGCAGTTTCTGATTTTCTTTACTCAGCAAGAAGAAAATTGGAAACTATTCAATGTAGAAAGATGGAATCACCTTTGTTAAAATGGTTGCTGAGTATTATATGTACTTTTTTATGATCGATTCATATGGCTGCGAATGAGCTGATCCAAATATTATTAATCACCATTTCTCTTTTGTTTACCAACATTTTTTCTTTTTCTTCCTTCCTTATTTTTTTTATTTTATTTTCTCTTTTTTGTACCAAAGAATTTATTACAGATTGTATTCTTGAAAGAAAATGCTGGAGAATAGATTTACCAAAACTGTGGTGCCAACAAAAGCAACACAAAAAATGGCTTAAACAGTTTGGACACCTTGTAGATTATGGAACTCGGTTTTCTTATTGTAGCCAAATACTGTGAAATTCCAGGGAAATAGCTTGAATTATTGTTATAGGGTTTTCTTCTCCAGTTGGTTATTATTGATGACATTCACTAGCCTTTTATAGGGCTTATTTTGAATTTACTATTTTTAAAAAATCATCATTATATCATGCATGTTAACAATTATTAAATGACAAATTGACACTTCATTTGTTTAATTCCATTATGTGACAGTTTCATCAAGTAGTATTATGAAATTGTACAATAGAGCCAAGCAGACATTTGTGATTTTTGAGCCTCCTGACTGATTTTCAGCTCAGTTATGAAACTATTAATGATTTTGTACATAAGAGACAGATTAAAACAATACTGATATTTCTAACAAGAAAAAATAAAAAAAATCAGGGTTTAAATCTAAAATAAAGAACTAAAATTCACAAAAAGAGCTTAAATTTTGCATTTAACCTATTTAGAAAGGGAGAGGTGACTCAGTGCCAAAATGGATTCAGCATCCCCACTCAAACATATAGGTCTAAATCATGATTTTCTGATAAATACAAGGAGAGTTATGTGAAAAATTGATATTTAATGCTCATATGGTGCCAAAAGCAGGAAATGATCAATATAAAAAGGAACAAAGTATGTTTTAAATTTCTTCCACCTTAATTAACTGTTATTTAAACTGTTATAGTATTTCGAAACTTAGACTATAAAAGAGGAAAAAAAATTGGCATTTTCTGTTAGCACTATTTGAAATTGGGTGGGGGTCAGGCAAAATATGACGAAAAAGTCATATTTATTTGAGTGCATTTTGTGTTGCTTCAAAATCCACCTGATGTCTTTTCTTTTTCTTAAGAGTATCAAACTAAAACAGTTGACAATGACTTTCCTAGCAAAAAAGGCAGAATAATCAATTATCCAGAACTGATCACTTAAAAGTAGAAGATTAAACATGTACAAGTTTTAACATGAAATGATCATAACTTAACAAAAGTTAGACTGGTATTGAAGCCCTGTGACAGTCTACTTTCAGATTAGAGAAAGCACATATTACTTGGAAAATGTTTCAAAAAATTCAAATGGCCATTTACTAGAGCACTGTGTATTTTAAATGTTTTGAAATGATTTTACTACAGAAATAAATGAAGAAAAGCAAGATTTTCAGTGATAATTAATTTGTGCAAACATTACTACCAAAATTAGATTGTTATATATTTAATGAACTAGCAGCATGGCCCGGCGTTGCCCGTGCTTGATTCAAAAATCGTACAACTCATACAGCAATCGCTATCACTTGAATTAAAATATTTTTGCCCCTCCTTGCCTTTAAAGGAGTGCCCTTTGACATGCTGATGTTGCTACATGCCTTACTTCTTGCCTATCTCACACTGCGAATTTTTTCTAAGCTCTATACTAAACATTAAATCTGTTATGAAAAAAGAACTAAACAAAATGAACACAAAACGATCAGCTTTAAAAAAGGACTCGTAACTGGAAAAACCGAATGAAAAAATAAATATTAACAACAAATACTTTTTCACACCCAACCCAGTTCTGTGGAATCAGAATCAACGTTGAGTTTAAGCAAGTGAATGAGCCCATTGGAGTAAAGTGCCATGCAGATTTAAACTTTTCCCACTTGTGACGAATGCAGCTATCAATTTTTTTTTTTTTTTTGCATGCTAGCTAACATTCGTGTCAGTCAGCTGTTGGCTCTCACACTGGCCAATAGAATCTTCCTGCCTATTCGTGGCAGCCAGCTATAGGCTCTCAATCTGGCCAGTACAAAATGGCTGCAAACTACATGAAAATGCCATAGAAGCATGAAAAAATCAATTATTTCAACTATCGATGGGAGTTGGGAAATGCAAAGTTGGTTTTGGCCTTCCCGCTAACTTGGAGCATGTGCATGTAAATTTTGGTGGAAATCTGTCGAAAATTGCGACCATGCATTCGTTACACACACACATCCTGCCTTTTATAGATAGAGATAAACGTATTCAATTTACAATATTATCTGTTAATTTTACTTTTCTTTTTAATAAACCTCAAGAATAATATATGTTGGATCAGTACTTAAATATTTTTTTCTTCATTTTTCTTATTGTTTTTCATTGTTTGCTGCAGCTGTTGCGATGTCTAGCAGCATTGTTAAGTGCACAAGATATTTCCATCTGGGAAGCCTCATCTACAAAGCAAATCTACCTTGGTATTCTGGCATTTATTACTCACAACAAACCAAAGGTAAGGATCTGTCTTGCTTCCATCTTGGGCTGTTTTTGGGGGGCAGGGGGCTACTGGCTTCATCTTGCACTTGATGTTAGCCTGAAGTTGACAAAATATTAATTTGTAGATTATAATGAAAGTATTGAAAACAGTGATTATTTTGTAGTAGCTGACAGGATATAGGATATTATTTATTTTTTTTTTTTTTTTTGTCCTGAATTTTCTCATTCTGGCAGTGGATCAAGACAATTTATTCATAAAGAAAATTGTAATGAGAGCACTGATTATCCTAGAGCGGTTGACACTGTATCTGGTGGAAAAAGTTCTTATTCTAGGTCTTAGTCTTGCAGTCATTCAAGACAGTTTGTAGATGATGATGATGACAGCAGTAAAAATGGTGATTATTCTGGAACATCTTGTAAGATATTTCACTAATATAACATAATTTTAAAATGTCCCAATCTCAAGTGATTAGATATGATATTAACTTCTGCTTTCTGTTCGAACTCTTGTCATTAACATTAACCTGCATTTATCTGTAGATCAAGTCATTCATATCTTTCCTGCAGGTACGAAAAACATCACATGAAAGTGTAGAGTTGATTCTGAAATCAAGTGCTCTGATGAAATCTGAAAAGGCTCCTTCTTGCCATCCAATGGCATCTTTCACAGCCAAGCACTGCATCCAAAGAATTGAGGAAAATGGAGGTAAGTTTCTGCTGAATTTGAATGAATTTGACACACTGACATGAGTTATCAAGTTTGTGCAGAGATTATTTTGAAAATAAACTGGAAATTTTCGGATAAGGTTAGATTATTATTTTTTCTTTATAATTCTGAAATTATTGAAACTAATAAAATGTTTTAAAAAAGAATATTTTAAGTGAGCAAATGAGATTTATATTCAAGAGATATGAATACAAGGGTGTGCCAAAATAATTCATTTACATAAATTGTATTAAATTCAACTGATAAAATCTGTTTAAAAAGTTGTTTTTTTTTATATATTTTCCTTTTCATCTAAGTTGCACATCCACATCAAAATGGTGGATTAACTGTCCAAAGTTCATTTTTTTGTTCTAGTACTTTTTGACTTTCTCAGTCATTATCTGGAACTAAATGTTGTCAATCTCAAAAGTTGTTAGCTACATTTCTTATTTAAATACACATGTATTGTAAAAGTGATGTTGCCTGTAGAACAGTTTCACAGAGATTGACAACAGCAGAAATAAAATATATAAATTATTTTATATGTATTGTAACTACTTCATATGCATTTTAATCATTTTATCCACATTTTAAAATGCTATCTCCTGTGGTGATAGATATTTAATGCAGGTAGCTTCTTTTGTATATCTTTGAGTATTTTAAAACTTTCTTTATACTGTGTACTATATATTTTGTATTAAATTATTGGTTGTATTTTTGCTGTTTGTAATTTGATGATGGATATATTCTTCATTTGCATTAAGTTTTAGTAATCTATAAGAGAGAAAGGGGTGCACTGATATTCAGAGAACTTAAAATGATTACTTGCTTACTTATTTTAATGCATCATTTTACTTAGAATTATTGCCATGTGACACAAGCAATAGTCAGTGCATTATTTATACAAATTAGCCATAAATAATCAACATTCCCTTTTTATAGCTGTTACTTATATTATTGCCAACTAAAATGGTTTTTATATTTACATAAGTAGCAAAATAATTATTCTAAGTAATGCAGTTAATGAAAATAAGTGCTGCATAATTTGTTGTGAAAAAAATGAAGCTCAAATAGTTATCTTACCAGCACTTTCTTTCAACTCTTTATGCCATATTGTTTGTTTACTACTTAGTTAGTCTTGGGTATGACAATAAACTACATCTGACAGCAAGGCCACTCGTGTGGAGATTGGAGGAGTATGGTAGCATCACTTAATTGCTGCTGTTTCCAGGTTCACTCTGACATGTGGTGGTAGCACCTGTTAGGGTCCCAGCTATGGACAAATAGTGAAAAGCAACAAAAAGAAAGCACTATGAAAGTATGAAAATACAGTTTCATAGTAAAAAATACTAGCAATACATTTTTGTATTAAAAAAAATTACCATATACAATTTTCTTCAATATATATTTAGTTGAAGCCACAAAATTGTTCAAAATATTTAGATTTCGGAATTACATAACCATAGAGGTTGATATATCACTAAAAAAAATCAACCAACTGTTTACTATTTAGTAATAGCAATGATCATATGTTTATTTAAATTTTGAATTGAAGTATTTTTATTAATTTTCACTAGTTTTATTGATCTTATAGTTAATGTTTATTTATACTATTCTCAGTCAAATTGCTTTCATCTGTTAAAGCAAATAGCATAAATTGTCCATTTTAATTTCACCTGTTTTTCTTTTCTTCCACACATTTCCCAGCTGGAACTGATGCCATTGGTACCCTCCATGTGTTAGCCCTTGTCAAAAAAATTTTTGGTGTTCTTCATCAGAATGACATCCAAGCCATGTGTGAAACTATTCTCAAGATCATGACCCTGGCAACCCCTGTAAGTTAAAATCATTTTTTTTATTTCGGATAATAATGTTAATTATATTGAAATACTCTGAGTTAAATTAAAGGGTGACTGGAAAACAGGAATGTCAAAATAATTAGAAGTCACAAGATCCAGTCCAATAAGAAGTGAAGATTTTAAGTATATTACAACATATGGTAAGGCAGAGCTGAAAATCCAAGCTTTTACAATAATCAGTCAAAAGCTGGAATGATTCTTTAATTATATGCATTTGTTTATGGTATTTACTAGTTTAGTTTAGTACAACACATGACCAAATAGTGACTGGAATACAGTTAGAAAGATAGTGTTTAAAGTAGGAAGGGAGACTCTGGCATTTACCTTGGTTCAAACTATGATCACTGGCACCTGTGAGAAATATGCATATGTTGCTTTTTACACTATTTACATCATTCAGACTGTTATCCTCATCTTGATTGCCATATTCACAATGTTCCAGCTACTGTACGCTCTGACCTTTGCCAGGTGATATACATTGGAATTTTGAACTGAACCATTTATTTAGTCTATATAGATTGTTCTAATTCTATTTTTTGGATGTCTCAGTTAATTCCCTTTTGTAATTCAACTCTCTCCAAGTTTTTTGATCCTTTTGCTGTGGCTAGTTATTGAATCCACAACTCTTTGGATCAAGTCACTTTTTGGATTACTTGAACCAACCCTTATCCAATGAGTCACGTGTCCTTGGGAACAAATTCCAACTTTTATCACCTGAAGAAAGCCAAAGCACAAGAAAAATTAAATAAAAAAACTTAACTGCAATATCTTGTCAGTCATTTTAATGAAACTTGTGTGTGTGTGTATATATATATATATGTATATGTATGTATGTAATCAAGGAAATAATAAATATAATCTTATTCTTATAAACGTTATATTTATTGCATACAAATATTTGAGTAGGCAATATTTTTTTATTTTTTTTTAATAGTGAAATTAACATCTATTGATCAATAGATTGAAAGTATTACTAAACAAAATGTACACCTGAACATGAATCAAATTTGTATTCCAATTTTTTTAATCTTTCAAGCCAAACATATCTTGCCATTAAGCTATGAGAAACCATTACAGCAAAGTAAGCTTCAGTTTGCCTATTTAAGGAATACACATCTCTCATTGGGGCATTTTAAAGTATAGATAGGCAGGTAGATAGATGAGAATTTATGGTGTTAATGGTTCAGATTCCAAAATGAATATGAATTCCCATGCTATGATGGTAAAATAGATTTTAGTGTCATGTGACTGAAATGCCATTGTATGAAAGACATTTCAACATATGCATGAATCTCAACAATATTATTATAAAAAATAACAGCATGAAGAGGGTTAAGTTTATTGGGATTAACTCCTCAATTAATAGGGGGTGACATGTGCAACATGTGTCACCTGTCATCCAGCAGCTGTTAGTAAAACTATAAAAAAAGCAGTGTGAAGTGTGTCACACCCCTTGAAATTGATCCCTCTGTGTCTGGACAAATAAAAATAAATATTAACAATTTCTCACAACTTTCTGAAAAAAAAAAAGTAATGTAATTTTTATTTAACTATTGTAAACAAGGCACATTTGTTAGTAATGGAGCTGTATTTACTTTACTATTGTAGACTAGAGATATTTGTTAATAAAACAACTAATGTTACCAACAAAAGTGTTTTTTTTTTGTTTTTTTTGTTTTGTTTTTTGAGAATTAGGAATTGGTGATGACAGCTTTTTCTTATATCCAAGAATTTAATTTCTTCATTTCTCATAGCTTCCTTTATGATGATGGCATTGATGACTAAGTAGATCAATTCTTGCCTGGGAGAGCCAATGGCATTGACTACATAGTAATATTGGTGGAGGAATAAGTCCACAGAATTCTAAAAGTAAATATTTATATTTTACAGATGGTTGTGGCTTGTTGCATGCAAGCATTGTATGGTTTGGTGAGCACTTCACCTAAATTGTCAAATCTGGGAACAAAGTTGAATGCCCAGATTATTACAGTAAGTATTTTTTCATTCATCTCTCTTTATCTCCCTCTCTTTCCCTTGCAATTGTTAAACATTCTATTTAACTTTGGTAATTTTTTTCTGTTTCTCTTCATATTAATACTTTAGCATATATCCACCTCCTCCATGAACATATTCCCACTTGACCAAGAATCACAAAATATATGATTTTGATCACCAGACAAGATTTTATTTCACTTAAAGCAAAGGTCATTCCCTTGTGTGTGCAGTGTGACTGCCAAGCTTCAGATATTTTTTTTTAAACTTTTAGTGAATAAGATTATCTTTGTGTTCTATACACTCTTCACTTGTAATTATAGAAAACATTTTATATATATATATATATATATATATATATATATATATATATATATATATATACACACACACACATACATACAGGGTGATTGAAAAGTAAGTCCCCATTTTAAAATAGTTATAATTTATTTATTAACTAGAATTTTTACAAGAAACAGATGAGAGGAAAGTGTTTAGTATGAGGTTTTATTTAAAATTCAATATGGCTGCCAGATTTCACTACCAGCTTCTCAAGCCACTCAGGAATCATATCAACTGATTTCACCAGGAGCTCTTGTGGTATGGAAGACATAACTTCTTGAATTCGCTCTTCAAGTTTTTCAAAAATCTTGGTTTGGTGTAGTAGACTCATTCCTTTAACCAACCCCAAAGAAAAAAAATCACACACTATAATCCATAAGTGATACAAACTAGATAATTCATGGTATCACATTGTTTTAACATGAAAATATTTTTCTTTCTCTAGAAATAAAAAGTAGACCACCAGTCATAGTGTCATAGTGAGTAAATTGCTCAATATTATAAAATAAAATATTAATAATAAACAAATAAAATATTTAAGCTTATCTTCCTGACACAGTTTAGCAGTACTGTTAGAGTTTTATTTCTAAGATATTTACTATGATGAGCAGATATCTGATGAGCAGATATCACTTGTACAAAACTTTGAGCTGAGCTTGGGTAATAAGTCTGAACATTGTGTGTGTGTGTGTGTGTGTGTGTGTGTGTGTGTGTGTGTAATCTTGCAAATTCTACCATGCCAAAATGTTGACTCTATAAATTGTCCCTTTTTGAAGGTAAGCTTTTTTATAAATTCTTATTGGGTTTAATTTTCACTTCAGGCTTTGTATGACTACCAGCCTTTGGAGACTGACATTCAGCCCACACGTGCTTGGTTGAGTGTCATGGAAAAATCTGTGATCAGTTTGTGCAGGTAGGTTTCTAATTGTAATAACAGAAATCAAAAGTATGACTTTAAACAATTAGATTGTAATTCTACTAAATTACTATGTTAATAATCTGTGCAGATTGGACATAAAGAACAAGTTTCCATCAAGGTTCAGTCATAGAATGACATTCTGGATGTTACAACATTATTGACAAGGGAAATTTAATCTATTGACCAAGTTTAAATTTTAGCTGAGCTTGTTTACATTCAGTATCTGTCTATATTTCTGAGATGAGATATTGTAACTGTTTACACTAATTATGTTGTTTGGACTGTTTTCCTTATCATTATTACCATATTCATGATTTATTGTCGATGCCAAAAAATTGCAGTTGGTGTCATATGATATGATGTTGGGTTTAATATGTTCAGATTCATTTGTTGCCATCAGTAAATTCACTTTCACCTTCCAGCCTTTTGTTTTTCTTTGCAGACAAGATATAGATCTTGGTGAACACCATCTACCAAAAATATTTACATTAACAATGAAGTATCTCATGACTGAACATACTCAGTTACATCAGGCAGCAGCCAACTGCATGAAGGTAAAAAGCTTTTAAACAAATTGAAGATTTTCATAATAATGTCATCTTTATCTATGTTGTTTTGGTCTTTATATTTCAACTGGAACAGTCTCCATCCCTCTTCTGGTAGATGTTGAATTTGATAAATTAGATTCTCACATGCCTTAAAGGTTGCATAATAGATGTTTTTAATTATTAACAAATTAATTTTTGCACCCAGTGCCACCCACCAAAAGTCCTTTTTTTGCACCAGAAAGTAACTGACTCCTCTTGCCATGCTCTATTTTTACAAGAGTCAAATCAGGCCATGGAGTATTGCTGCCATATCTGGACTGGAGCTACCCAGTCTTCACTTTTCAGCATTTACAGAGTTCAAAAGCATTTATATGGCATTGTGGGCAAGGAATTATTTTTCAACTCTACAGCCCCTTTCCCACAGATGAAATGTTGCTACTCTATCACAATTTCCATGGCAAATGTTTGAACAAGGAACATTCCTTAGTTCAACCAGTTTAGACCATAACAAGTAGGATCATCCATGCTCTGTCCACAGGATTGAATCACCATCATTCCTTTCATATTCTATTGGTAAAAAAAAGTACTTCCCTGAGAAGCACTACTTTATTGAACAGATGCCCAAGAGGATGATTCCTTCATTGCTTTAATCTTAATTTCAAGTCTATGGTTAATTATTTTCAATCCTCATAATCTGCACTTGCTCAGTAACTCTCTACATTAAGTGGCTCTTGAGCCTTGCATTTGAACATTTAGCATAAAAAAGATGAAATTAAGATCTGATAGGAATCAAAAAGTACCTTTTGGGTCCACTTGGTGAACCTCTGAAGTTAATTTTTTTGTTTAATATTTTCAAGCATTAAATGGCCAACTTTTTTAATATTATATCCAGTTTATATCTTCACACATTCACAAATATTATTTTAGAAACTTTTCCTTCTGCTTACTTCCTCTCTATACTTTTAGTATTCGTTGTATTACTGATACAAGTTTTACTAATTAACTCATAACCATTATCCATTACACCAACCACACATCCAAGTTTATCACACCTGGTATTCCCAAGCAGTCA